TCACTATGAAGAAAAAAAATAAAAAAGATATGAAGGCATCAGAAAATGGAAGAAAAATCATAAATGAAGCAGACTTAGAGCCCTTACGTAACGATGGACATTTGGTGCCTTCTGCTAGTACAAACAATGAAATACATATTTAAGGGGAGAGTGAAAATTCTTTTGTTGCTGTATGCCAACCAGTGGATTATATTAAATCCATAGAATGTTACTTCTGAGCAGTTCTGTTCCTTGACTGATGATTTTCACACTCTACTATGATGGAATGAATCACCTGTGAATTTATAATAAAGAAACAAATTATAAATGAAAATACTCCTTCAGGTATGCCTCTGCACTTCTGGTTAAGATTAGGATATATGATCCATACAAATTTAAAGTGTGAGGTATAATTAGTATGTATTAGAAGGTATAGTATTTGCTCAGGTATTGTAACTCTTAATAAACCATTGAATAGGAAGTCATTACCAGCAAAAAGCACAAGAAAAATTAATTGCCCCAACAAGGAAAAAAGTCTAATACCTTAAAAAGAAATAAATTTAGACCATATTATTCAAGACTGAAATCTACTATGAAAGAAGATATATACTATCATGACATCAGTCACTCATGTTTCATCATATATTTAGGCTTTATTAATTTATATTTGAAATTTGTTTGATAGTACACCTAATGAATCTTCTTCCAACATTCTATTAAAATACTGTTGAAAAATAGAGATAATTTAACCTTTGCAAGCCATGGTTGTCAAACAGCATATTACAGGATGTATCAGGTTTTGTTTGGTACTGTGGATATGTAGTAAGAAAAACTGATAATTAACTTGAGAAAGCAAATCCCACTAAAAGATGTGTCCTCTTCTCATCTGTCTGCTTTCTGGCAGAGGTACATCTGCCCTAGATAATTTAGATAAATTACCAGCTGTCTCTCTTCTTATAGGGTGTTTTGGGTTTTGTATGTTTATTTGGGCTGGTGCACAAAAAGACATCTGTCACATCCCCACAAGTACAAAAAGTAGAGTATGTGAGCCAACATTTAAATGTTGCATTTGCTAGTGACAGCAGCTTTATTAAAGTAAATACTAAA